ATGCACTCAAAATCTAAAACTATACATTAAAAATAGGTGGATTAAAAAATGAAGACATCAAATAGCAAGAATTATCTGTTCATATTTTTAATAATTTGGCATAGCAACAATTCTCATACATTGAATATAGTGAAAAAATATAAATTATTGCGCTTTTCATTAAATTTTAATTTTTCCGTATTATTTCAATAGAAAAAAATGTATGTTAGTATAATAATATCAATATAGTAATATTAAAATTAAGAGTAATATGCCCTAAAAATATAAAAACCTATGATTACATGTGAATAAACCTATTAAACTTCACATACTTAACCATCGTACCATTATTTAACCATTGAAATTAATTTCTATTTCATCTAGCATTAAATACACCTTAGTAAGATTGATATACAAAATGCATAAACTTACAAGCCCTGCATATGAGTTATAAATTTTAACCAAGAATCTAAACATCAACAAAAATTTAGATGCAATAATAATTTATAAGCTATTTAAATATTGTAAAGTAAAGGTATACTCTGGTTAAATCTTGATGCCCAGCATATATTTCAGTACCTACCCCCTCTTTATCACCCACATAGAATATTTAGTACATATAATTATTATTTGACTGTAAATATTTTAATTTTTGTTGTATGTGATTGATTACCATAATGTACCCAACCTCCCCCCCCCAAACCAAAAAATCCACCATGACGCCTAAGCTTCATAAAAACCCATTCACCACGCCACTGCTCTTGTTCAATGACAACTTTTTCGAGTTCTCCTCGTTTTCACTTCCTGTTAAACTAAATATCCTAGACAAAAAAAAAAACCGTGATTAGAAATAATATTTTTAAGAATTTATTATTATAGAATTACTAAATAATAATTAATATAGTACAAACTTTTTACGAACAGGTCTATTTTGTTCACCGTGACTAGTTTCTGTGTTTTTAGTGGGATAATAATTACTATCATGGTTAGTGTAAATAGCTGCTGATGGAGAAATATTGCTTAATGCATTTAAGTCATTAGCCACAATATCATAATAAGTGTTCTCGACTGAACTAAAAAATAAATAGTATTACAAAATATATTATCATTATTACATCTAAATTGTAATTAAAATAATAAATAAAAACAATTGCAAAATATTTATCTAAAGTACATACTTTAACAAATATATAGTGGGACTGACAACAATATTCTTCTGGTTTTCATGATGGTTAAAAATTGTAACACGAGTAGGTGAAAATGAAGGATCGTAAAAGTTCAGTAGATCCTCTAAATACAATGTATTATGTCATAATCATCATTAGCACTGTAAAATATACAATTTAATTATTACCAATAGTGTATGTATATTGTATACATATTGAACCAAATAAATATGTGTAAATTAATATGACATAACAAAAAATAAATAAAATAAAACTATTACAAAAAATAACTATCACAAGAAATGGTCCCAATACTTGAAAAAATAAAGAGACAATGGGTGGAGATATATCTGCATCGTTCACCCAAGTGAATATATGACAACATTGTATTATATAAGATAATATGATAAAAAAACTGTTTGCTTACTTCATAAAATCTGTCATACATATATTATCAGAATTATTCTGAACACCTTTATTTTGTATAATAACATTTTCATCATTTATACCACTGCTAGAAATCTCATTCTTTTGCTCTTCGTCATGTTCTACCTAAAAAAAACTACAAAAAAATAAAATTATAATTTATATTAATAAAATACTATAATAAGTAAACAATTATAAACATATTATGAAATATAGCTTATGGTACCCACCTTTGCGAACAAGAAAGTGTGTCTGGACGGTATACTAACTTGTGTTTATTTACATGATGCAACCATTGTCTTACTTTAGAGTTTGACTCTATTGAGTCAGGCTGCTTGCCATAGGGACGTAATGACGAAGAAGATGAATCCTTTGGTAAATTATTTGTACTGCTTTAACAAATAACAGTATCTATTGTATTATATTTTTTAGATAAATTGATCAACTTCGCTGATTGGTTTCTTCTATGCCGGGCCTCCATAACAATTAACCAAAACAATAATCCTTGAACAACAATAAAACAAACGACGTAACATTAAGCAATGATATATTGACTTGGATATATCAGCTTAATAGAAATATGTTTCAATATAAAATATAATCATTAAATACTTGACTAAGACTGTGGAAGGTGGAAGTATTCTTGTAAATATATTTTTAATTACAGACTGTCTAAATAACTGAAGTAATAAGTAATAACCAGTAACCACGCTAATAAGTAATAACTAATAACTAAAATAATAACTAATAACAGTATTTACCTGTACGTGTTATCACCATAGATAAGAAATATTCATCTATTACCACAGATATATATAATAACTAGATACCCGACTTCTTCTTATCAATGACGCTGGCAGCCATTTACAACTATGGCAATGTTTACAATGATAACAATAGTTCATATCAAATAAGTCTGTTGCCCAACTTACTGACTACTGTGGTGCTGACCCTTTTTCGACGATTATTGTAGGTATTTGACTCATTACATTTAATACACCTATATTTACCTGTGTTTAATTATGTAAATTTTTCACTGTCATTACATTTAATTTAGACTATGCTTCTTCTCCCTCGCCTCTATCCAGTACTTCTTTTTCGATCTTCCTAGCTGTTCAAAATAAACTACGATTGATGACATATCTCTATAATCATAAAGAGTGAAGTCGCTGGTCAAAATCAGTTGAACCACATTTTGAAATAGGCATCAAGTCCATTAATTCATATTCACTTCACTGATTCTTTGATTTAAACTTATATTTTTAGGCTTACAGTAAATCGTACAATGTAAAATGAGTTGAACTTAACTGGTTCATCCATCAATTATGGTATAATTATGTATAACTGTATAAGAATACTTGTAATAATATTAAGTTTATGAAAAAATAATTATATTATGAGTATATTGTTATGAAATATTTGTATCACTATGTATGATATCAAAACGATTAAAAAATGATAAGAATTTGTAAACATTGCCATAGTCACAAATGGCGTCGGGCATCATAATTTAATAACGTTGTGGTATATGGAGTCGGGTATCTAGTTATTATATATATCTGTGTCTATTACACGATTATAAAGAACAGGTCATCCGTCGGTATAAGGTTTGTATGGCACATTGGCACAACCACGGTCAGAAATTGTTACGGTGATATAGTTCGGCTATTTACCACTAGGTAAGCGCTGCTAGTTAACCGGGCTCTAAACGAATTGTTCATTGTCGTCATAAATATAATATAAATCATCTATTGTGATTTGTGAAGACGAATCGTATAATATATTATTAATATTTAATATTATTGTCATAGTGGGGTCATACGTCTGACCATTGATTATAAATAGTATTTATAATCAATGGTCTGACATACGTCATTATATTATTATTTTATTATATTATTTATTTCCGAATTATCGAAACATGCCATCTTCTTGCTGTGTTGTGTTTTGTACATCGGATATAAATCAAACCCAGAAAAAGTTTCACTGTTTCAATTTCCTAAAAATGAAATTTTGAGGGAAAAATGGGAAAAATCTATTCCTCGTGCTAATCTTGTCAACTCAAAGACAGTGATTTGTGAAAAACATTTTCACCTGATCAAATTGTTAGAATTTGGGAATCTGGTTCTGGTGCTTCAAAAGTCACGGTATTACCTAGGTACTGTAACTTATCCTTTGTTCAATGAATCTTTTTTTATAAAAAAATGTCTTAAATGTTTTTATAGATAAATTTAAAACGAGCAAAGCTTGTTCATGATGCTGTTCCAAGTATATTTCCGGGTCCAAAATATTTGTCAAACCCAGTGAAAAAAAGGAAATTACCATCTGATATGTAGAGTTAATTTGATTAAACTAATTTAATCCAATAAACTCTAGTTTTGGCACTACATTAGGGCTCGAATTGGTATATATGTAATTATAATATATATAAATGTACCTATTTACTTTGTACTACACAGAATAACGTTATACTTTTAAATACTAAAAAACACAATGATATACATAATACATACACTAATTTCTAACTCCTGGTTCCTAATGTAAGTGACCACATAATAACTGATTATTGAGATATAGGTAGTTTTTGTCGTCACCGAATAATCATTATTTATTTGTGAAAATTATGGTCTAGCCCCCCCTCCCCACAATGAAGTCTTTAGAACTGGCCCCTATTGTAGTGAATTTAGGTATATTTTTCCATTTCAAAATTATGAAGAACATTTTATTAAATTACTAAGCAATAGGCATTTTTCAAACATTGTAAAACCACTAAAAAAAAAATAAACAAAAATATTAAATAATTTAAAATTTATCAAAATATTTTTAAAACACCATTGCACATCTCTTAAAAAATTATATTATAATTAATAATAATAATTCAATTAGGTTGATGAAAAATAATTTAATATTATCAAAGTTTGTATACATTGTTAGTAGGGCCGAAATAAAAAAAGAGAGGTCTAAAAATACAGTAGGCTACACCCAAAATGCAGGTCTATAAATTGCCTATGAATAAAATGCTAATATTAAAACAAAAGGTTTGTCAATTAATTAATTAAAAAATTAGTTTTAACATGGTTTGTGTAGGAAAATGTTAATTTGTAACACGGATGACTTGCAGCGCTCGGCGGTTTTAAGAACTACACCGCCGTAACAAAATCTGACCGAAAATATTCCTTCCGACGCATAACCTGTTCTTTATAATCGTGATCTATTATCTCTTATCTATCGCGCCACAGTATTATTTTTTGTAGTTCTAGCGCGTTATCAGCGTATCTCGTCAAAGTGTCTAAGAAAGTTAAAAAGTACGCAGCGAGACGAACGCTGAAGGTCTCCGAGTCTCTGGATATTTCGTCGACCTTACCCACTCCGTCAACGTCTTCATCCCAAATTCCTGAGCAGCAAGCATAACCTGGTCGCCCGTCCACCATGAGCACCAACAAGGTGCAGAAGCAGGACGTGCTGCAGGCCGTGGTGGTGGCCAGCTTCTTCCACAAGAACTTCTGGCCGGCCGCCGATGGGGACAGCGCGTGCCTGATGCCTCTCGTCAACCGGCCGCTGCTCCACTACACCCTCGACATGCTCGAGTCTTCGGGTATCGTGGACGTGGTCGTGTTCTGCTCCAGTGGAAGCGCAGACCGCATCAAAGATTCCGTACAGCTCGCGTCCGGCGCCCGTCGGCTGAACGTCGTCTACACCACTTCGGACACCTGCCGATCATTTGGGGACGTGCTCCGGCACTTGGACTCGTGTGCGCTCATACGAAACGACTTTGTGCTGCTGTGGGGCAACGTCGTGGGCCAGCTTCCGCTTTTGCCGCTCGTCAAGCGTTTCAAGACCCTGCGGCAAAGTGGCGACAGGGGCGCCGTCATGACCATTATCTACCAACGGTCCGGTGACCCAAACGCCGCCTCGGTCGCGGACCAAACGATCGTGTTGGCCGCCGACACGGGCAGGGTGCTGTTCCACAACAGGGCCCGAGGTAAGATCAGTCTGCCACTGGAGCTGGTGCTCGACAGCACGGTGGACATCAGACGTGACCTGGTCGACACGAACGTTGTCATCTGTTCGACGGCTGTGCCGCCGCTGTTCGCCGACAACTTTGACTTCCAGACCAAGGACGACTTCGTCAAGGGGTTGCTCATCAATGAAGAGATATTGAACAGCACGCTCTACGCCCATGTGGTGGACGGCGACGGGTACGCTGGCGAAGTGTTCGACTGGCCGTCATATCAGCGGGTCACCCGGGACGTGTTGCACCGATGGACATACCCTCAGGTTCCGGAAGTGGTTGACAAATACAGCCTCAGGTACGGAAACGTCTACATCGGCGAGAACTTGAAGCTGGCCCTGACGTGTTATTTGGGTAATGACACGGTCGTGGGATCCGACTCGAAATTCGGTAGCAGCACGCGCATATCCAACACTGTCATTGGCAAAAATTGTACGATCGGCAATAATGTCACAATAGAAAACTCTTATATTTTCAATGGCGTCACCGTCAAGGACAGATCAGTCATAAAGTTTTCGGTCGTTGGAGATAACAGTATGATCAAAGAGAACAGCCACATCACGGACAGCTGTATTCTTGGTGGTGGAGTCGTGATCGAACCAAACACAGATTTGAAACAGTTACGAATACTCAGTTCCGACTCGACTAACAAGTCAAAAAAGTTAAGTGCTAAAGCTTATGCGTACAACGCTGAAGATGATTCTGATTCGGAAGATGATGAAGATGTGAGAGGCCTGACGTTTCGCAAGAGGACTTGGTCAGTCAATAGTTGCTCTTCGTCGGACGACGACACTGCATCAGTGGCAGCGTCCATACCCGATGACACGTGCATGTTCTACTCTGAAGTTGTGGATTCGTTGATCAGAGGTTTTGAAGACCACGTGCACTGCGATAATCTAATATTAGAAATTAATTCATCGCGGTACGCCTACAATATCAATTATAGAGAAGCAAACTTTCAAGTGATCCGAGCGATGTTGACGCTGAACAGCAAAGCCGAGCTTGAGGCTCTGAACCAAGTACGATATTATACACAACTGCAGTCTAAATTAGACTACTTTCTGCCAGTACTGAGAAATTACATCAAAACTACGGATTCGTGTGAAGACTGTCTGTCTGCAATCGAAGACATTGCCAAAGGCGAGGAGCTGCTCAACACAGTTATAGTCAAGGTAATACATCATTTATATAACATGAACATACTGAGCGAAGAGTCAATTCTCAGGTGGCATGAAAAGGAAGAGGACACTCAGTTTGCAAAAACTGTAAGAGAAAAAGCAAACAAACTAATTGAATGGTTAAAAGACGCAGAAGAAGAAACAGATTCTGATGATGATGATGATAGTTCGTAATATTTTTTATAAAACTTTTGTTTAATGTGGCATATACATATAAATATATATATTTACAAAAATAAATACAAATCTTATTTGTTCTTAAAGCAAGAAATCGACAGAATACATTTTTAAGTAGTAAAATTAAATAGTTAAGGTTAGTTGTACATAATTTTTGATAAAATATAAATATTTACATAAATAACTTAAATATAATATGGCTTGGTAATGAAAATAAATTGTGTTAAACTTAAAAAAAAATATATCAAAATAATGCAGTATTGACAACAACAAAAAAATCAACAATGAACAGCCATAAATAAAACCAATTAATTTCTGAAGATGTGATTTTTTTTTTAATATAAATAGTAATGTCGACCCGTGTCTTACGATAACATTATAAAGAAACTGGTTCAGAAATCTGTAGTTTTATATGAATAATACAAATACAGTACATAACTAACTTAAATTGACTAAACAAGTAGTAGGTGGTACAATTATGTGATTATACAGTAAAAATGTCAAATAATAATAATATTAAATTATAGTCTTTTGTAAATGGGATACATGGTGGGAGAGTGGGGGGGACAGGGAAAAAATGTAATGGTTTATCATTCGAATAGATGAGACATGACAAACATAATTGCTATTCCAGCAATTATCAACGTAAACTGTTTCATTGATTCTCTTGGGTTCTCTTCGAGTAAAAGCTCGGGCAACACAGTAACCAAAGAAATGTGAAGAAAACCACCAGCTGTAAACGGCATAATCCAAGATGTCTTTGCCTCTGAAAAATAAAGTATTCGTCATTCTTGAGTTCTAATCATTTATAAGTTGTAATACAATCAGTACAATAAAAAAGCTTTGTCAATCATGAATTCAAGTAGTAAACAGATATTATGTTTTCCATAAACATTATACTCCGGGACACGAGAGAAGGCAACCGCTCGTTGACCAAATTATGTTTAGTCCGCATATTTTCCACCGAAAACCAGTCTAAAGCACGCCACCGGCGACCACCAGTTAGTCGTGACATTTCGTACGGTGACTAGTGACTGCTTGGAGGTGGAAAATTGACCTCGTTGCTGCTCGAGTTAATCATTCGAATGCGCAAAGCGCAATTGTGTTCTCTCGCGGGGAGGAGTATAATTCAAGTTTATATTATAATAGTGCAATATAATGTAAGAATCCAAGTACAAAATGTCAGACTAAATAAATCGTTTAGAGTAGGCTTAGAGATAAGCGTAGTTATTTTATTACAATAGTACCTACAAAGTTTATAATTTAAATCTTGGAATATTTTCTTAGTAATGCAGTATACATAAATATTTTGATTGTTTAATAGTCAAATATTCCTTCCATAGAATCATGAGGCTGCCAATAATTAGTTTGTCTAGGGATACAGGATGATCAAAAGTTAACTTTTCACAAATATGAATTATTTTTTAACCTATATAGTTACAATTATATAAGTTTAAAAAAATACCTAACGGACTCTACCTAACATTTTTAAGTTAAAATAAAACAGGAGAAATCCGATTTACTTACCAACGTCATCAGAAACTCCACTACAGTATATGGCTGTAAGTGCTCCAAATATGCCAGCAGAAGCAGTATATACTTGAGCACATGCAGCTTGCCAACGACTAAATCCAGACTTCAAAAGAATAGCAAAATCACCAACTTCATGTGGAATTTCGTGAACTATTAAGAAAAACAAAGAACATCATTATATCAATTCTCCTCAATAGTTACTGATAAGACTGTTAGATGATAAATATTTTTCGTATTACCTAATATTGCCAATGTGGTGAACATACCAACTCTTGGGGATATGAGAAAACTTCCTCCTAATGCTAAACCATGAGTGAAATTGTCGATGCAATTGGCTAACAAGTTTAAATAACCACTTATCTACAAAAAAAAATACATCAAATGGTTATATTTTTGTCTTGGGATGTCAATTCAACATAAATATACTAATTATAACTCACTTGAATGTGATTTTTTCCTTTGGTCACCACATCAATACATTTAGTTGTTTTCCCTGGATCCTTATGGTTGTTATTGACTGAGTTTATGTCAGTAGACACTTTTGTATGAATGGTTTCATCAGTGTCTTCATTATCTGACAATGAAAACAATTTCTCAACTATAATGAATACCAATAACCCAGCCAGAACCCACCAGCCATCCCGTATCCAGTCTTTATGTCTATCTATGCAAAATAAACAAATAAAATGTGATTATCAGATACTAATAGCAGACATTTATTATGAAACATACCTTTAGAAGAAATCCACACTTCAGGTAAAACGTGTAAAAATACATCACCCAGCATACCACCAACGGAAAAACTCAACAACAGACGTAAATGTTTACTGCCAGCTAAAAAAAAAAAGTTTCATTATTCAAGTAGGTATATTCTAATTTAAATTTTAAAGTAATTATAAATGTATTTATTTTTAAATACATTTCAACAAAAATTCAAAACCTAACATTTTAACTAAAAATATTAATCAACTTTTATTTGCTCATTAACTGTATGAAACAGTTGAATGCAGCTTTATTGTCTATTTAATTATAGTATTTCTATAATAACTACTTAATATGTATCATTAATATTTTAATGTAACTTCGGTAATAAATACAATAGAATCCGCTTAAAGGGGACATTAATGAGTCTCGAATGAATGTATTGTATGTGAAATTATTCGCGTAATGGGGATAAATGGGTCACCGCCCGATGTGTCCCAAAAGTGGTTTCTACTATTAAGTTATAGAAACTTATGAAACCCAAAGATATTATCATTGACTATAAATATAACAGGTACTTATATCTGACCACAGCCAGGGGAGGACTGCGAAGAAAAATTGGCCCCGGGAAACAGAAATATTGGCCCAATTTTGGGCTAATAATAAAATATTACAAGTTATTGGTCCAAATTTTTTTAGGCAGTCCATATTTTTGCGCGGGTTTTCAAATCGCTCACCTGCCACCCTAGCCATAGCGCCCCTGATTGCAGCGGTTTAGATATTATTTAACAAATAATAAATAGCAGAAGTCAATAAAATTTAAAAAATCCTACCGTCATTTCTTTAATTTGTTTACTACTAAATATTAAATTATTATATTTGTATAAATAAATGAGTCATTAAAAACTATTATTAAAGCCCCATGTTAAAACTTTCGAAATAAAAACCAGTATGCCAATAATTATAATTCAAATAAACAAACTTTTTAAGATACATATTCTAATAATATATTTGATCACAGCCATATATAATGAAACTCAGAAAGACAATGAAATAAAATCAGTATAGTATGATATAAGTACCTACTTTAACACGTGTACAAACATTTTACAATTTTATTTTTAATTAATTACCTTTTAATAAACACATGTTCAATAACAGCTGTAATCTACTAAATTTACTAGTTAGTACTTGCGTCAATAAAGGCGATATTTAATGTCGAAATTATAATAGTTAATAGTTTGAATAGTACCTAATTATGAATCCAAAAATTGATTTCAATAATTGAAACATGCCAGACATTTGTAATAGTCAGAAAAAATTATCTTGTTATTTGAATAACCTTGTAAAAATGTAGACATAAAGTAAATTGCATAAATAGTTCACTAGTATTAAGTTAATGCAGTGGTTTTATGAAAAGAAAAACAACAACTAATCTATTCAAATAAAATGTTAAGACTAAATAAATGTATTCTAAATTTATATAAAACCATAAAATAATATTAGACTTATATTGTATTAAATAGTATTGTATTTATTTAGCAATTTATCCTCATAAGTAGAATCAGGATTTTTATAGGGATTTTTATGCTCAGAAAAAGACTTCGTTTGATGCTAATAGCTAATAATACTTATATGCTCTAAAATATTCTCTAAAATTAGAAAAATTAGGTTTTTATAGATAAATTTACATAGTATGGATGAACATCAAAATATGGTTTAAAATGAAAATTTTAAATATATGATTTTTTAATAGAAATATGAACAAAAAAACAGTCAGGCGACTTGATAATTCTATGATAATATTGAAGTGTCAAATTTTTAGGATCTATCAACAATTAACATAACCAACTAAAAACAATTTTCAAACAAAGCCACAGTTCAATAGGTAATTGATAAAAACATTTTTTGTATAGGTAGGTACTAGATAGAGGTAATTTTGTATTGGTACCGACCTCAAAATTAATAATTATGGTTAAAAATAAATAATTAGTACTCTTTTCTCATAATTGATAAAACATTCCAAGATATTATTCTAAAGAAATTAAATACCCTCAATTCCAAAAATCCTGGAATATACTCAAAAATGCAAAAAAAAATATGTACCTACTAGTAAATTTGTGTTATAAATCAACTTAATTGTTCACTCCCTAAATCTCAACAAACCGCATACACTCAATAAATATATGCAAAAGCGCTCCACTTATAAGTTATAATAATTATTATTTATTATAACAAATCAACAAATTTCGAGAGAAAAAAAATTTAAGTATGTACTTATATATAGTAGTACATTAGTGTATATTTTCTAGACTAAGAGTTTGTGTACCTTGCTAAAACCCAAATATACCTTTTAATATAAAACATATGAAACAATGCACATGTGTTCTGCAAATATTTTAAATACAGCTGTCTAAGTAATTAATACGCATGAACAAGTTGATTTTTTTCTTTAAGCTAGTTTGATGATTGCTACTGACATTATCATGTAATTAAGTACAATGCACCATAAAATAGATTACAACACAGTTACTCACAGAGTCATAGACTCAACTATGTTTCAATTCCTTGCTCACTTACTCAAAACCACTGCTTTAATTGTACGGCTGAATGCACACATTATTGACTAATATTATTTAGTTATTCAATGCCAAAATTATATTGTTCATCTGTGTTACTACCACAACTGTATTTTATGTACGCAATATTTTATAATATAACCAACGTGAAAGTGTCGGTTGAATATGATGTTTATTAATAATAATGTACAATTAATTTGCTAAAAGTCTATACCTTAAACAGGATGTATTTAATCGAAAGTGTATCTAATCTGTAGACATGCACAACTGTCAATCATCTTCAAGGCCAACTAGAGGATCTTGGACATTTATGCTAAATTTATTTGTAAGGTTGTAAGCCCATTATAGATTTCTTTGTTGACACAATATTCTGATTTGTAAAGACAGCATCAAAAATATACCTAACTTAATTTATATAAACTATATCAATTTTTTTTAATATTTCATTTGTAATAAGTTGACTTTTTATAAATGTCTTAAAAAAATCATAATTGGGTATATGGTTATTAGTTGTTTAAATGCAATATATTACTTTTTGCAGACCTATGTTGCAAATTGTATTAACAATTTATTTTGTACCAAATGTACAAACCACTATAATATACGATTATGGCTAGTTATAGAAGTTGTATACACATTATATACTCATTACACTAATAAATTGTTTCAAAAAATGAAATGTATCATTTTTATTTATTATATGCACAGCACAATAATTGTACAAGACTGGTAGACAAAGACTGGCCTAGAAAACGTAACAATTTACCTATAGAAAAATAGCACAACTTGAACAATGAACATTCAAATAGTAATTTGGATTAGTATATGCGCATGTGAATATTATAACAAATGTCGGAAATTCAATAAATCAAACAACAGCCGTACCAAATCTATGTAAATAAAAAGATAAAATAATTATTATCAGGTAGCTAAGTACTCTATTCTTTTAAGTATAATTATTTTCCCATTTTTGCTAATATCTAAAATCTAACTACCAAGTTGGTTTATTGTTATACTGTTGGTCAGCACACCCGTAGAGTAGGGTATATCAATTATAAATTATTTAAATTAATTATACATTTATTCAAAATTATATTGGTAAACTAAAAGCACCTTTATCTTATTATTACTTTTGAGATAACAGTTAATATATTATGTCGATGAGAATAACTAAACATCACTATCTAGTTTAGAATGAAAACATTGATTAAAACGTAAACTATTCAGTTAGATTAGAAACCTAGTTAGTAATGATTTCATAACAGTCATTTTCTCGGTCATTTCAATATGAACTAATAGAAAATAAGTTGTTATCATAGAATATAAATACTTACGTCCAGTTTTTAGAGAAATTGAGTCATTGACTGGCAATATGAGTAGGGGGAAAAGTCCGCTGAGGCCCACGACAATGGACCCAATCACGGACATAAAGACCGGCTGATACTGGGTGGACAGGAACATTGTTGCAGCCGTTCCCATAATATTCGAGTAACAATCGCCGAACAATCCGTGACCGAACAGCGTAGAGTTCTGGACGTTATATACAACGGGACCGGTATTCATTTGATATGCACTCATAACGTAGGAATACGACTTCAATGTGTGCAATTTTAAATTAAAATAAAATCCACGTATAAGTGTGTGTTGGACGGGGAGGTGGATGTCCAAGACTGCTATGAATGCTTCTGACACCGCACAGCAATCTCAACAACAGAGAATAGGTTGTCGAGTTGTTTTTTATTTTTATCAGCTCACTTCACCTGAAAAAAAAAAGTACCCAATAATAATAACACGAGAAGAGCAGCAACATTAATCTAAAACGCAAATAAATGATTTATAATCGTTTCTAATAGACTCTCACACATGCTACTCTCTTCTCTCTCTCTGTACCTATATATATATATATATATATATATATATACACCTATATATATATATATATATACACCAGCAGTTCTATAGGTATCTCTCCTAACCACCGTGTTTACTACTCGATACGACAATACGCAATATTTACATAAATGAGCATAAGTGTAGATAGTAATTAGAGTAGTTATTAATATTATTATTTATTAACACCTAGTCAGTTTTTGTCTTGCACCTACGACCTACCTGTTCGCACTTCGCGTTCGGCCGACGATGATTAAACCGGCTAATTATAATATTATTATTATACCTACCTACTTATTACTTATTATTATTATTACCAGTGACCGGGTTATCAGCTCGCCGAGCAGCACTCGTCCGCCGACTAGGCGGGCGATTTGTCGTCGCTGCCGGCACGTCCGCCACAGGCGATTCCCATGTCCTTATTAATATTATCGTTCTCACTTGAAACCGTTTCGGACACTGTAGGGTTCTTGAGGCGCGAGCGCGTCTTTACCCGCGGTCGTCTCCGGGTCTGGTAGACGATTGGATTTTATGAACTTAACTGTGACGACCGTGGTTATCGGTCCGCTTCAATATATTACCAGACGGTTACGACAAAATGTACGTCTTATTACGCGAAAGCGACAACGGAATTGGGCGAAATGAGTACAATCTCAGCGGAGGCACATCAGTAGATGGTACACACGGCGCGGCTGCTGCAGACTGCAGTATTGTTGCTTATTGTTGTTGTTGTGCTATCGGTTGTGGCCGGCGGGGATGGCGGGGTGGTGATAGGAGCCAAGGTCGCGACGATGATCGACCAACCGCGACGCGAGACGGGCAGAGCTCGCCGCGCCGCAGCGACAGGAAATGAACGGACAAAAGCGTGACGGCCCTTCCTCTTTCGCTCGGACCATCATAACGTTAACTTCTAATATTCATATTATTATTGTTGTTGCGAACATAATATTAATGTGATAAAATATAATATTATTGAAAATTAGAATTTGTTTTGAAAACGATCACCTAAAGTTCGGATCGCCGTCGTGGTCGCTCTATCTAGCGGTCGTCAATCTGATCTTGTGCACATTCCCCAGTTTCCCCCGCCCCCACCAAACACTCGAATCGCCGACTATAATAGAACATTAATCTTGGTCCAGGACGACTAAATATTTTTTTTTATCTATATAACGTCTTAGAAAATAGTTGTGAGAGATTCACATTTTTTTACTCAACAGGTGTAGTTTACCTATATAGGTAATATCGTAATTTTTAATAATTCTTATTATGATAGTATAGTAGAATTGTTTCTGCATTCTGCTTGTACTTACGGTCAAAAGTAAAAAAATGCTTCTATTATAAATAAAATATTGAAAAAAAATTATGGAAAAGTGAAATATGTACGAAACAACAATTTTTTCATTAAATTTGACTTATTTAGTTGTAAATAAAAACGAATAATTGTAGATGAGTACTTAAAACTTTCGTCGAATATTATAATGACATTATTCTCTAGAGTTTAGACATGGTATATTTTTCAAAATATTTTGGTTATTTTTTAGCTACCTACATGTATTTATAGACATTTGAAAATTTCCCCTTTCTTTAATGGTAACTACTCTTTTTTCTATAAATTTTGTCTATTGATAAAAAAAATTTAACCTTTGCCAAAAATATTTAAAATGTAATACGCTGTTTTTATTGGAATTAAAAAATAAGTTGAAAATAAATACATATTAACAGGCCCGGCTCAAGGGGTAAGCGACATAGGCTCACGCCTAGGGCGGCACTTTAATTAGGGGTGGAATTTTCAAAAATGTGAAAATTATTTAAGGGGTGGCAAAATTTGATTTAGCCTAGTGCACAATTTTCGCTTGAAAATTTCGCCTGAATTTTAAGTTTTCATGAGCGTTTTATGTCAGAATTATGACAAAAGACGTAAAAATTGTAAAAATATGTTCATTATTTTGAGGTTAAAATTCATAGCTATAATATGACTAGTAAGACTTGACAATTTAATACAAAACTCCTCAATCCTCATAAGTTCTGCTTATTAGAATTTAAAAAAAAGTTTAGTGTAAATATAAGTCACATTCATTTTTTATCAATTATGTGCGATTGGATGTTCGAATTTTTATGACATTGCAGGATATTCAAAGTACCTATTTAACAATTAACAACCATTTATCCTTAAACAATTTTTGTAATAATTCATAGAAATTTGAAAATTTCAACTATTACTTAAATAATTAAATTATCTGTTTTTGTGAAATAATTGACATAATTTTAAAAATATTACCATTAATTTACCACTAACCTATAAACACGGTTTGTCCGCCTTCGGTAGGTACATCGAGATTGACTTTATGAAATAAATAAAGCAGAAAGTTTTATAGTTTATATGCATTACGTAGGTAAGTACCTAGGCTCAGAATCATTTTTCGTATAGGTACCTATCAAAAAAATTTATCCGTAACCCGGTAACCGAATGTCAAATTGTCGTCTGCAGTTTTATAAGACACAAAGAAAATAAAATATTTATTAAAATACAATATTCCCGATCAACTTCACAAAATCCAAAATTAAAAACAACTAACAATATAATACAATTTTTAATTCAAACAGATTTATATAAACTCATTTAGAAATTGTAAATCAATCGAGTTAATAATAAAAACTGTAAATAATATGTAGATAATCACGTTACCTATATACTATACAGCTAATAACCATTTTTTTTAAGAGCATTTGATCAATAAAAAAAAAAAATAGATAGGTATGACTGTATGAGTCTAAAAAAAAAATGTAATTATACTGCGAGATAACGAGTAAAATGACACTATTATTACCTGGTGGTATAATGTTTCACAGTAGGTACTATAAATATAATAATATAATATACACAATGTAGTATAATATACTATGTATTTTATTATTTATTATTATCAAATCATTATTATGCACATTGTGATTTCGAAATCTCATTTGTAATTGATTTTATTACCTATATACAAATTACAAGGTGTATTGATCAATGCACCTTGCCTGTATAATATAATATAGGTAAGTATTTAATGGAAATTGAAGATAGTAACATTGTGTAATTTAACGAAGAAAAAAATTACGTTTATCGCCATTAGAAACTGTAGTACAAAATGTATTTAAAATAATACAAGTACATGCCTAAACCAAACTGTTATTTTGGTATATTTAACGGCCGTTCGGGAAGCACTCGCCGCTTAAAGTCTATTGTCTATAGAGTAAAGTCGATCGTTGAAGTCTGTTGGATATAATATAACGTAGTTGTAGGTATATAATAATAATAATAATATATTATAATATTATTCTCCAACGTTAGAATAAAATATGCTTAGTTTCAAGATAAAGAAATAGAAACCGGTGTCCGGTGGGTTCAAACCCGGTTTTGTAACCCGAAATATTTCGAAACATGCACGTGAACCTACCTTTAATATGTAGTTATAGTATCTATAGATGTATAGACATAGTGGTGAATGAAGTGAATCCATTTAAATTTTAGAGTCAACGAAAACTGAAAAGAATTTACATGCATTCCTATGCACATCATAGGACATACCCACCTACAGGACGAACCCATAACTGGCATACTGCTGCACTATAGCTTCAACACACCAATATGGCGCATATATTATGTAAAATTAAAAAGTGGTTTTGAATAGTTCTTTTTTTATATTCCTGGAAATACGAAAGCAAGAGAAAAATTGTATATGCATATATAGTATATCTTACTATATTAAATCTATTTGACTTCATATTAGATATGTATAATTCTATAAGCATATAGGTACAATGTACAAAACATTTAATAATTAGGTACGTTTAAATTTTAAAGTACCGAAAATAAATATTTTATATAATATGATTTTGGGCTGGGATACACGATCAAAATATATTCCTGACCGATTTTTCGAAAAGGTTTCGTTGTCACGGTTACTTATATTAATAAAAACATATATTATGATTTATAGATTTTCTTTGTAGAGGAAAAATATATCGAGTACTGAGTAGCATTCTATGGTTTTTAATTTTTATTTTTTACTATATGACTGAGTTTAGAGGACGCCTCAAGATTCAAGTATTTAATTTCGATAACTTTACAGTCTAGCATGTGCACAAAATATATATGCAGCAAGTATTTGGCATTTGTAAGACCAAACCCTCAGAACACAAAATGTATTATTAATAGGTACCTATAAGGTATTAATAGATTTAGATATAAAGGTTCTTACGCAGTATAATAATACGTAATATAATATATTAATATATCAAAATAAATATTATGTATACCTACCTATTTAATATTTATATTTTATACATATTATTATTTTAGGTATTCATCAATGAATTTTATATATTTTATTACATACATTTTCGAAATTTAAATTTCCTTTTCTTTTCATGCGTGACCCACGATAAAACTAAAAAATAATTCACAAATTAAAATTAACACTTATTGGTAAATTAAAAATTTAAGAATTGTATATTATATTATTACTAATATTTTCTTAAACTCACGAGTAAGTTCCACAAATAGTTAACAAATCGCGATTGACATTAGTTCTAATTTTCTAATTAAAAATGTAGGTCAATGAGACAATATTGACAAATGATACCGGGTTTTTATATACTTGGTTTATTTTCCCCTGCTACCATGATAAATCACAAAGTTAACAATAATGCATTAATGCATAATAATATTATCTATGATATGACAATTGACAACAACGTTCTATATAATATCCGCAATAATAGGGGACTACCTATTAACCACATTACAAATTTCAAGTTCTTGACTTAGTATATAATTTATATAGTTATCTCTATTTCAGTGCACTTATGCACTTCATTCTAATTTGCAATTTTATCGACGATATTTACATACCTACACTGAAGACATATTATAAACCTATATGTTATACTATACAGGTGTTCTGTCTAAATTATAGTAGCATCGGTATTAAACATTGAAGTGCAAAATGTCGTAACCAAAACCAATTACACTTACACTTTTTGGAAATTATTTTTGTTTTGCGTACGTTGCGAGGATTATTATAAGGTAATACCTACTCATTGGTTGAGAACTTGCGTAGTTGAGTGTAAATACTATATAAATCCTGGCATTGTACTATTACAATTCCCGAACATTTTGGGCAATGTATAAAAATTATCATTTTAATACTCTAATTTTCCTCACATCTCTCGTACAATGAGATCCCGTGCAAAAAGTATGGCCCTGCTCAGATTCAAGTGGGCAAAGTGAATTAAATATAGTGCACAGCGCCACACTTCAAATAGTATTCATACGAAGTAAGTAACAAGCTATCTACAGCTACATACTTTATTTGTTGGATAGGTACCACAACTTACGAGATACCTATCTAATGCAAGAACAAATTAAATAAACTTGCATGTATACTATTATGTAACATTAAGTTGTATTATGAATTAATTAAAGCAACTATAATTTAATAGGTATAGTAAATAAAATTAATTTTATTTGTATAGAACCACCTTTAGATAATCATAAAAGTCCTTCAATAGTAGGAGGTACCAGGTATATAACAATGATTCAACGGTTAATATATTTAAAATAAATAATTATGTAACTAATACTTGAGGCATCTATTTTCAAGTATTTTTATGTCTATTAAGATACGAAGTAAGATGTTTTGCTTGGTTTTCAATATTTAATCGACAGTGCCCAGATATAACTTGGCACCATCTGTCGGCCTACAATATTCCCTGACAATGTAAACGGTTTCTTACTTTGTCCTCGAAAATCGGACATTGTGATACCATACCCGACTTTCTACTTTACCCGTAATATATAATCAC